GATTTTTTACATTATCTAATTTACTAAATTTGTTGTTATAAATTGGTATAGAATATTAATTTATCCCTTTAGCACCTCTGCGATTTTACTTACACATTTTGCAATGTATTCTAAGTATTTATTCTAACTTAGTCTTCATGGTCTTATGAGATAGAAATTATTGCTTTTATTTTTCAGATATGAAAATTAAAGATTAAAGAGATTCTATAACCTATCTAAGTCAAACACCTACTAAGGAAGAGAGATGAAAATCAAAGCCAGATCTTTATAACTCTGACACCTATGTTTGTTTGTTTTTATTTGATATCCTCCTTTTTGATAAACATTTATTGATGAATAAATAAACTTGTACATTAATATAATTTAAGGAACAAAAGAAAGGTACTCTAAATTCAAAAACATTTACATTTTCTTTGTTTAATAATACCTGAAATTTCATGAGTGGGACATATCTCTTTAGCTTAAAATGATAAACAACTGAATGCAGCACTTGGTGTTTATTGAGAGTATATCAATGGACATGGAAGTTATCATTTCATAAGCCAGGAACAACTGGAGGTCAGGAAATATTTAGCAAGAATTGCATTAAAAAGCATGTAACACCATAAAACAAGATGTCTGTTTGATCCAAAGTCCCAATGAAGAAATGATGCCTCTAGCACCTTCCCCATCTCCACAGGTAATGAAGAATAAAAATGAAATAAAGTTTTGCAATTAGATATTTCAGACAATAATGAGTTAAGTTGAAGGATAGTAGCCTCCTGAATAGCATACAGAAAACCATAGCCTACAGTAAATTAATTGATAAAGACTGCACATTGATAAGAATAAATTTCATCTTTTCAAATGATTTGGTTCCCTAAATAATTCTCTTTTCAGTGAAATGTGGAAAATAAGAGAAATGAGGGCATATTTCCATAATGCCATATTTCATTAAATACACCATAAACTGAGACCTTCAGAATAAAAGTGTGAGGGATTCAGGGAAGAAAAGAACCGAAACAGCCACCAAAGAAATATATATATTTCTGACAAACTGACAAACATTTTATGATTAGTTTGTGGAATGTGAGTACAATTTCAGAGGATATCAACTCCATAGCCATAACCAATAGCAAGTAGAGTGACACGTGAGGCCGGATTCTCCATAGTTGTTTGACAAATATTGCAATGAAAGTGAAATGAGGAAGTTTTAGGCCCTATGAAAGGGCCTAAAGTGAAATGAGGAAGTTTAGAACCTATGAAAGGCAAGGGATGTGAAGAGAAGAGAATGCTATGAGTACCACCACGGAAGTGGAAGTTTCCTATAATGTCAAATTTAAAGAGTGCCATGCAGATGGATGGCTGAAATTTACTGGAGATGGAAACCATTTAGATTAAGGACTCAAAAGTATGATGATATATACTGAAAGCTGAGGCTATTTAACTGCTCTTTAGTCAAAACAACAAAATATATTTACATACTAGATTTAGACAATAGTCATTGGATGAGCATGACAATATATAAACACATGTATATGCATCATGAAATAGATGTGTACTCAATGCTTCTTAGATAATAACTTTGTATAAAGCATCTTAATTTTTTTATTTACAATAAGAATAGATTTCTAAGGAAATATCCAGTCCTATACCTCGATGTTACATTTTCTTTTACTAATAACCATCTATTAAGCTATAAAAATGCTAACATAAAAATATTGAGAGAACAGTTATGTATATTGAAACATGTTTAGAATATTTTGAGAGAATATTTTTGCAAGAACTGTTTCTTTAAACTTTTAGATGATACATATGTATATATGCGTGTGTGCCTGTATATATATATAATCTTTAAATCTTACTTGGTAAAATATATTAAAATGTTATCTTATGACTCTTCAAAATAACCTAAAGCATTTAATACTGACAGGGCAATGCACTATTCCTGTAGTATCTGGATTATCTCCTCTTTTAGGAGTTTCTAAACATCCTTTTAGGTGTATAACAAGATAGCAAAATCCTGTGTCCTAGTTCAATGGTCTGATTGAACCTGAAAATGAGGGGCAATCCAGGAGAAATGCCAATTCCTTAAACTTTTTTGCAGATACCAGAAATTCTTCTTCAGAAAAATGTTATATTTATAATAGAAAACACTATATTGTTGCCTTGTATTAATCCATGTCAGATTACCCTATCAGGCTAACAAAAGTTTTGTGGTCTTTTAGCAGTTTTTCATAACAATATGAACCTAGGGTTCAAAGTAGGTATTTATTTTTACCTACTGTATGCCTTTGGGCACACAGACACACAAGTTTTATGTTTTTCTTATGAATGTATTGTATAGTCTTTTCTTATACTGGTTGATTCATTTAGTTGGAGGCTTTAGTTTTTTTAGTATGTTTCTACGTCTGACATTTAATCAATATTACACAGTTTTAATTTAATCAATGTTACCCTTTACTCAGCTTGAAGTTATTTTCTTGAAAAATTGTTCATGACCTCATACAACTTGGTTATTTTCAACCTATACACACTTCTAATACACTATACAACATTGTAGTTTATGTTTGTATGCTTAAAGTTGTCTCAAAGGCTCCTTAAACTTTCCTCATTTCTTGGATTCTCTTTTCTTTTTGCTGTTCTGATTGGTTGTTAGATGCATCTTTATTTTCAAAATTGCTGATTTGATTTTGGCTTCTTCTGCTGTACTGTTGATTCTCTATAATTTATTCTTCATTTCAGTTAGGATATCCTTTATTTCTGACTGGTTCTTTTCAAATGGTTTCTTTGTCCTTTTTTTACGCTGTTGAAGTTCTCACTAATTTCATTGAGCATCCTTATAACCATTGTTTTGAACTCTATATATGATAGTTTGCTTGCCTCCATTTTATTTAGATCTTTTTTTCTGGAAATTACTCCTGTGCTTTCATTTGGGACTTGTTTCTTTGTCTTTTCATTTTACCTACTTCCCTATGTTTGTTTCCACATATTAGGCAGAGTTCCTACATCTCCTGGACTTACAAAAGTGTTCTTATATAGTAGGTGTCTGGTAGGTCCCAGTGGCACCGCCTCTTCATTCACCTGAGCTGGGTGCTCTAAGTAAGAGGCTTACTCTTGTAAGCCTCTTGTGCAGGCTGTGTGCACTGCCCTGTTAGAGTTGAGCTTTGATTGATGCTGACACTTCACTGGGAGGGATTTACTCTCAGACTGATAGGCTGCAAGGACCAGCTGTAATTGCAACAGAGGATCCACTGTTCTGAGTTCTTCCACTGCCTTAGTCCCTCCTGAGTTTGAGTCTTAATGATCTTATTCCCATTTTTGCTCAATCCTGATGTCATTTTAGTCAGTCCACAATCCTTTTAGTTGAGCTTCTTTGATCTACACTTGAATATGGACATACTTCTAAAACTCTGCACCTATAATCATTGGGAACTAATTTCTTCAATTTACCTTAGGGCCGTGCTTAGGGTCTGAGTAGATGGATCTGACTCATTTTTTAATTTCAGACACCCTCTAAACATGAGTAAGTTCAAATCTTCACTCCTAAGCTATCACTCCCTAGAATAGTACAGATCTTCAGGATATATAAAAGTACCTAAGGTTAAAAAAATTAGATTATTAATTCTGTCAGTTTTAGCAGCTGTCTTGTAATTCCTTCCCACAGATCTAACACACAGTTCTGTGAATAAAGGAAACAACATATTTATTCTATGAGACATTGCCAACGATGAAAGTCTACAGAAAAGACCCATTGGGATAGACCTCAATCAGAGCCTCATTTTCTAACTGGTTCTTCAACATCCTGTGTATCAGGGTTTGTGTTGTTTTTTTGTTGTTTTTGTTTTGGGGTTTTTTTTATACTCATAGTGAACTAGTTTGAATGGTAAATTATATAGTCACTCCATTTGTAAACCATATACCCTAACTACCAGAGCGCCAGGAAAGTGATGGTCACCCAATAAAGATAATGGGTAACCAATTAAATGAATAACCAATTAAATATATGAATGAACTGATTCCAGTTATGCTTCATTCTGTAGTTTTGAAAGATATTTTGGAATGTCCTCTTTTTAAAAACTTGATCAATCGCTTTGTATCCACAGCATAAGTGGAAGCAATCAGTACGACTAAAATATCTTGTGCCAAAATTTAACATTTTTATATATTATTTGTGAGAAAAGTATTTCTGCAATTTATATGGATAGTTATCTATTTTTCTGTTTACCGCTTTCTCTGCCTTTCTGGTTTTTGTTTGTTTGTTTGTTTTTGTTTTTCTCTCTGTCTCTCTTTGCTGCTTTCTTAGTAACTTGTTATTTTTTATAATTCTTCATGGCATCAGTGAAGACTTAAAAGATCTTGATACAGTTCCTCTGTTAAACATAAAAATATTTCATTTATAGCTTTCAGTACTTCTTATCTATTTCGTTTTGGAGAATTTAACCATGAATTACACATACCAGCACAGCTTGAAATATTCAACTCATGTTCTTTTATTCCAGTTAGGACAACAAAATAAAGAGTGGTTTGAACATAGAAAAAAAATTTCTGTGGATAGCAATATGCCAGTACTATTTAATAGTATATTTTCATAGAAAGGCCCAGATGAAAAGTCCATCATAAGTAAATTTTATATACTCAATGAATTCATATAAGTCATTCAGTTAACTGAAAAAGAAACATGGTTTTAAACATACAAAATACAAAAATTGTTTCTCAAAAATCAGAGAGAAATAACATTATTGCAAAAAGTCAATTATCAGTAGACAAAGCCACACTTAAGCACATTTTATAAAACTGGGGAAAACTGATATAGGCTTATTAAACCACTAACTTATTTTTTCAATAGTAATGGAAGATGATTACTACCTATACGAATTAGTAATTGATTGATATTCTATTGAGTTTGATTCCTTACAATTAAAAGTCTCCTATAGCATATCTTTCTAACTCTAGAAAGAGTAAAGTTCTTTCATTTACTAAGAAATTCTGAGTTATATCTGAGGGGATTGCATAGGCTGAGACCTGTCAGTGGGTTCATCTTATTTCTAGCAAACTATTAGGAAAAACTCAATGCAATAAAATACTTTAATGAGCTAACTTGTCCCTCAGACAACCAATCTTTAGTTATTTCTCCTTTGGTAAACCAGTGACCATAAGATTTGTCCTTTTATTCAACTTTTAGGGGCAAATGCATTTTATTAACTAATAAAAATAATTTTCCCACCTAGCCCAAGGTAGAGAAATAAATGGAAGATAATAAAAACAAACAAAATAAGCAACAATAAATCTGTGAGATCTTCTTGTATTTATTGCATAATACATAGGATATCAAACTCCATAAAATGTTTAATGCATTTTTTATCTAAGCCTTTATGGTTTGGAAATTATTTGAATTTGAATTGACTGGCACAATATAAACTCAGTCATCCTATTGAATGAAAAAATTTTTTTCATTTAAAATATTTATTTTAGGCATTCTTAAAATATTGTTTTCTTCAAAATAAGGAATTCATTTATGAATAGGAATCTATAATAATATAATCTTGGGTATATGTTTAAAACCTCAAAGCAATTATTTTAAATTTCTATTACATATGATATAGTGTATACTACAAATGTTGAAGTTTCTTAGCTATATTTTGGTTATTATTTCAGTTTATTTAAAAATCATTCAATTGAATGTTAACTTTGCATTGAGTATATTGAAATAATTACTACAAAAATGTATTTAATTTGTTATTCTCTCTAATATAAATACAAAAATTGAATTTAGACTTTAAATAATTTATATTTACTCTTATAAATAATGTTTATGGACCACTGATTCATAAAAATCAACTATGCAAGAGTTTAATTTTAGCACCTTAATTTGACTGTTGTAAAGATTCTCCAGAGAAACAAAATCGGTAGGAAATTAGATAGATAGATAAATAGGTAAATAAGTAGATAGATAGATAGATAGATATAGATAAGATATATAAATAAGATTTATTCTAGGAAATTGGCTCAAAAATGAAGTCAGAGAAGTGAACTGACATTTGTAAGCTGGAGAATGAGGGAAAACAATGGTATGATTTAGTCTGGGTCTAAAAGACATGGAACCATGGGAGTCAATGATGTCAGTCTAAGTCCAAAAGCCAAACTGGGTGGCTAGGTAATGTAAATACCACCAATATGAGTTAAAATACCTGAGAACCAGGAGTTCTGATGCTCGAGGGCAGGAGGAAATGTATGTCTTAGTTTAAGCAAAAAGAGCAAATTTACCACCTTGATTTTTGTCTCTTCAGGCTCTCACAGATTGAATGATGTCCATCTGCATTGGTGAAGACAATCTTCTTTACTGAGTCCACCAATTCAAATGTCCTTCTTTTCTGGAAACACTTTCTTAGACACAGTCAGAAACACTGATTTACCAGCTATGCGGGATCTTTTAGCCCATTCAAGTAGCCATAAAATTTACCATCACAGATGTCTTATTTCATACTCTTGACAAATCTACCACATAATCATTATTATCCCCATGTTGCAGATGTTGAAGCCAAGGTATAATGCGTTAAAACATATTTTAAGCCCTTGCTAGTGTGGCTCAGATGTTAGAGCCTCAGCCTGTGCACTGAAGCCTGGTTAAGGGCATGTACCTGGGTTGCAGGTTCGATCCCTGGCCCCAGTTGGGACCCATGCAGGAGGCAACAAATGGATGTGTCTCTCTCAGGTCAATGTCTTCCCTGCCCCTCTTCTCTCTAAAGGTCAATGGAAAAAAATATCCTTAGGTGAGGATTAAAAAAATACATTTCATGGCCACATAGACACTAAGTGCTGAAGATATTCTAACCTGTATATTTGATTCTGCAGTTTGTTCTTTCATACCTTCTTTAGTACCTGTCCACCAATCCCTAAAACAACCTAATGGCATCAAATTACATATTTCTTTATATAAATATTTAAAATTTCCCTATAGCTTCATTATTTTGTTTTCTAATGAAATCAGTGTCTCCCATGGTTTTTTATTTAGAGGAAAAAATATGAAATAACTATATTGTTTTTTGAATTTAGATACTCTATGAAAATAGGAGTTAGACATCTTTTTTGTATTTTTCAGAATTGTTTGCAGTAAGTATTTCTACATAGCATGGAAAATTATAGTAACTTTTGGCTTTTAGTCAGAATTTCTCTAAAAAATTTATCAGTAATGTATTACTCTCAGCAAAGAAAAAAACTTAAAAATCGTTTCATTTATTGCTGTTTTTACTGAATGTTTATGGTCTCCAAAATTCATTAATTGAAGACCAAATCCCTAATGTGATGGTATTTGGAGGTGGGGGTCTTTTTTATCTTTTTTTTATTTATTTCAGAGAGAAAGGGAAAGGGAGAGGAGAAAGAAACATCAGTAATGAGAGAGAATCTTGATGGGCTGCCTCCTCCACACCTACTGGGGATCCAGCCCACAACCAGGGCCTGTGCCCTGACCGGGAATTGAACCTTGATCTTCTGGTTCATAGGTCAACACTAAACTCCTGACCCACACTGTCTGGGCTGGAGGTGGGGGTCTTTTGAGGTAATTAAATTTAGGTGAGATCCTGAGGATGGAACTTATAAGAAGAAGAGAGAAGAAAGTGTTTTTTCTCTGTAAGTACCTTTATGTTGTGCTTCCCAGCCTCCAGAAGTCTGGAAAATGTTTGTTATTTAAGCTGCCCAGTTTAAGGATGTTTTGTTATAATAGCTTGAACTGAAACAATGGCCAAAGTGCTACAAGTTTCTAGTTATAAAAGAATTTTGAATGATTTTCAGTGGATACAGTACATGATAGAATAAAAATGGAAGTTTTGCAGAGATTTTCAACTAACCAGAAATCTCTATACCTAACAGAGAATGAAAAGTTGTGGTAGCAGAATTTTGTACATTGTCAAAGGAATGCTGAAAGCAGAAGGCCAGTAAACAAAATAAACCACTAATTCTGTAATTATTAACATCTTTGTGACAGAAAGTAAGACAGAAGGAAATATTGTTTATAGAAAAATTACAACTGAATTAAATAATATGGAAGGAAGCTATAAAAAAGAACAAAATCTTGCCATTTGTAACAACATGAATGGACCTAGAGGGTATTATGCAAGTTAAATGGTTTAGAGTAAGACAAATTTGATTTCATTTATTAGTATATGTGGAATCTAAAGAAAAATATAAACAAACAAACAAAACAGAAACAGACTCATAGATACAGAAAATAGATTGATGGTTGCCAGAGAGGAGAACGGTTGAGGGGCTGGGTGAAGAGTTTGAAAAGTATAGATGTGAAGTTATAAAATAGTCATGGGGATATAAAGTACAACATAGGGAATATAGTCATAATCCTATATAATAAAAAGTTAATATGCAAGTTGGCTGTCACGCCCTCACACAAGATGGCCAGCATGGGAGGGCCGTTGTGGGGGACCAGGCTGGCAGGAGAGGGCAGTTGGGGGTGACCGGGCCTGCAGGGGAGGGAGGGTAGTTGGGGGGGGACCAGGCCTCAAGGGAAGGGAAGTTAGGGGTGACTGGGTTGGCAGGTGGGGAAGTGGTTGGGAGCCAGAAGTCTCGGATTGTGAGAGGGATCCCAGATTGGAGAGGGTGTAGGCTAGGCTAAGGGACACATCGCCTCCAGTGCACAAATGTTGTGCACCGGGCCACTACTATTGTAATAATATGAATGGTGCCAGGTAGGTACTTGAAATATGAAGGGGATGGATCACTTTGTAAAGTATATGATTATCTAACCACTATGGTGTATACTTGAAACTAATACAAAATAATATTGAATGTAAAATTGTAATTGAAAAATAAAATTTTAAAAAGAAGAGAAGTTGCCTGGTTGGTGTGACTCAGTAGTTGAGGGTCAACCTTTCAACCAAGAGGTTACTTATTTGATTCCTGGCCAGGGCACACCCCCAGATTGAGGGCTTGCTTCCCAGTAGAGAAGGCATGCCAGAGGCAGCTGATCAATGATTCTCTCTCATCAGTGATGTTTCTCTCTGAAATCAGTATAAAAACTAATTTTTTTGAAGAAGAAAAGTAAAATAGATATTATAGTGCATAAAAGGGGGGAAACAAAAAAAATAATAACAATATAGAAGGGAGAATACAATCAGGACTTTGAAACCTAACATTATATAAAATCCATAAATACTACAATAATGTGAAGACAAGATAAATGCTTTATATTTAAGTAACCTTTTGCAAAACTCTGTCATCTACTTCAAAAAGAATGTTTTATTATTTTTTATAATGTAGATAATGGATAAATCTTCAATTGTGCATACCTTCCATTCTCAAGATATATGTTTTATTGTATTTTTTCTGCTAAAACCCAGCTCACCAGGGGATTCCTTCTGCCAAATAAAAACCAACTTTCACCTGAAGGGAAAATGTTTTGACCCACAATAAAAGTTAAATCCTGCTGAGTGTTTCCCCAGGCTTCCAGAGGAAAAGCTCTGCCACCTTGATAATAAACCAAAAACAGTTTTGAACAGCTAAACAGAAATAGTTTTCCTTACCAGCACCTTAAAATATATAGAGAAAGCACAGCATAAGCATTGCTTTTGGCCTTTATTTTCTTGTTTATGATGTGATAAAATTTTCAAATACACTTAAAATTATTTTTTTTAACTTTAAAAGCATCATTTGAACCAAATTTATGCAGGGGGTGATATTTGTTTGATTTCCTGCTATGTCAAAACCTTGATTCTTATTTATTTATTTCAGAAATTATTGAGAAAAAATTTCATGCATAATCAAAAAGGTATATTTCAATACTTTAAAAATATTTGTCCTTTATATTGTGCATAAACTATTAAATAGTGCAAATTAGCTTGATAATTATAAAAATATCTGACTCGCCATAGCTGGTTTTGCTGAGTGCTTAGAACATTGCCCCAAAACTGAAGGGTCCTGGGTTCTATTCTGCTCAAGGGCACACTTGAGCATATTTTTGTTGCAGCTGGATCCCTAGCCCTAGTCGGGGCGCATGCAGGAAGCGACCAATCAATGTGTCTCCCTCACATAGATGTTTCTCTCTCTCTGTCTCTCATCCTTCCCTTCCACTCTCTTTCTAAAAATCAATGGAAAAAACTATACTCAGGTGAGGATTAACAAAATAAAATATCTCTGACTCTTATACATGACAGTTAATTTCTTTCTTTTTTGCAAAAATTGAAATTTTTTAAGAATATTTAAAACTGGATTATATTTTTCCTGATAACAAATTTAAAATTTGTTGGAAAGAATTTAAAAATACATATTTATTTAGTCCACAAATATAAGGTCCACAACTAATGTGGTTGATATAAATCTGGTCTTAGATGCATATATACATTTTATATATGTAACAAAATCGAAATCTTATTTTGTAAATAATAAATTCACTTGCTTTACTCATATGCTACTGTATTTCAAACATTTGTCCCTATCTCATTAAAGTAAAAATTATATTTCAGTGGTATATACTATTCATTTGTATTGCTGTATCATAATTGGTTAAAATGTATTTCCTTTCTGGTTATTCCATTTAAAAAAAATTCTGTCTGCATTGCCTTTGATTATATCTAAACTTTCATCAAAAATTGTTTCATAAAATTACAAAAACCTGATCCAGTTTTATCAACTTTTAATGCTTTAAATATGTTTAACAAAGATTGTAGGAGCTAAAACAATATTTTAGCAAAAATAATATGTCAGACTTACTTACAAACTATTAAAAAATGATTATCTAGCCCTAACCAGTTTGGCTCAGTGAATAGAGCATCAGCCTGCAGACTGTATTTGCTGTCCTGGAAGATAACAGGGGAAAATCTGGATGTCCTTGGATATGGGGACGACCCTTTAGAAACAACACCAAAGGCATGATCCATGAAAGAAATAATGGGTAAGCTGGAAAATTTAAAAATTAAAAACATCTGTGCTACAAAAAGATAATGTTAAAAAAATGGAAAACCTGCCTCAGACTGAAGGAAATACTTGCAAGATACATGTCTGATAAAGAAATATTATCCAGCCCTGGCTAGTGTAGTTCAGTTGTTTGGGTGTCAAACTGTGCAGTGAAAGGTTGCCGGTTTGATTGACAGTCAGGGCACATGCCCAAATTGCTGGCTGAAAACTGGTAAGAGGGATGCAGGAATAGCCAAATGATATTCCACTCTCACAAAGAAGTTCCTCCCTCTCTCTCTCTTCCTCTTCTTTCCTCTATCTCTAAAAATCAATTTCAAAAAATCTTAAAAAGAAGAACTGTTATTCAATATATCAAAAGAACTCTGAAAACCCAATAAGGAAACAAACAACTTGATTAAAAAATGGGCCGAAGACCTTAATAGACATCTCACCAAAGATGACATACAGATGGCAAATAACCACATGAAAAAAAAATTTCACATCATTTATCATAAGTGAAATAAAAATTAAAATGACAATAAGGTGCCTATTAGAATGCCAAAATATAGAATACTGCCAGCACCAACTTAAGTGCCTATTACTAAGTGGAAGAAGCCAATATGAAAAGGCTACATGTGCATGATTCTAGTTATATGACTTTGTGGAGAAAGCAAAACTGTAACCATGATTTAACATTTCAACGTTAATAATTAAGCAATAAAAGTTATGTATTCAGCATTTTCTCAAGGCTATAGTCAACCCTATGTTTTCTTAAAGGGTGAAAATAAATTTCTGTTGAAGTCTCATAGTAGTTGCAGACATGGGAGAAAGGGATAACTAGGTACAGCACAAAGGATCTTAGGACAGTGAAATTATTCTATATGGTAATATAATGGTAGATACATGTTTTTATACATGTGTTTAAATCCTTAGAATTTATAACACCGAGAATTACCGCAATGTAAACTATGGACTTTGGATGATAATGTGTCAATGTAAGTCCATGATTGTAGCATAAGTGCCCCTCTGGTGGGAATGTTGATAATGGGGAATGTATTCATGTGTGGAGCAGGTGATATATGGGAAATCTTCAGATTCTGCTCATAATATTTCTGTGGAATGAAAAGTGCTCTAAAAATTAAGATATGCATTTAAAAAGAAAGGAAGGAAGGAAGAGAATGAGAGACAAAAAGAGGAAGAAATAAAGAAAAAATAAAGTGAAAAGAAAGTAAAGAGGTCACATTTTTAAAAATTTTTTTAAAAATACATTTTTATTGATTTTTTACAGAGAGGAAGGGAGAGAGGTGGAGTGTCAGAAACATTGATGAGGGAGAAACATCGACAAGCTGCCTCCTGCAGACTTTCCAGTGGGTATGTGCCCGCAACCAAAGTACATGCCCTTGACCAGAATCAAACCTGGGACCCTTCAATCTGCAGGCCAACACTCTATCCACTGAGCCAAACTGGTCTTGGCAAGAGGTCACATTTTACTAAATATTTTTCAATTTTCTTTGAGAAAACTACCTCTCCTTATCAGGTTTATGAAACATCTTAATAAAAATTCTTCTTCTATGAAAGTATATATACATTTGTTTTATTTATATACTATATTAGAACAAATTTACTGCAGAATATAGTGTTGTAAAACAACACACACGGATTATGAGGTTCCAGATTTTGGATGGAGCACACCAGGGATTGTGTGTCCTTGTTCCTCAATGTTTAGGTGAGTGGTCAGCAAACCGTGGCTTGTGAGCCACATGCGGCTCTTTGGCCCCTTGAGTGTGGCTCTTCCACAAAATACCATGTGTGCTAACGCACATACAGCGCGATTGAAACTTCGTGGCCCATGCGCAGAAGTCGGAATTTTGTGGAAGATAGATGTTACGTTTTATCTAAATCAGCTTAATTGTAAACTACAGAGGAAAGGAAACACAATTTTTTCAATGTTAGAACTTATTTCATTTGAAAACAAATTCTTTTTGCTCAAAATTTTGAAAGAGAAACTTTGATTCACCTTCCAAGCCTGTTGAAACATCGCCAAGAAAATAATTGTTATATTGACATTTGCTATTTCAAAACAGCCCTTCTAAATATGAGGGAAGCTTTTCTCAACAGGTTTCAAGAATTCAGAAACAGCAAAGCGACGTTATAGCCTTTGTCAAAAAACCTCTCAATGCTACTGTAACAGAATTGTATTTTTCTCCCTTTAATATTGACATTGGCAACTTTGAAATGCAATTGCAGGATTTAAAAAAGATTTTTAAACTTTGAAATGCAATTGCAGGATTTCAAGCTGTGGAGCTGAAATTTGAACGTCTTTGTGCTGATATAGAAATACTGGAGAAAAACAAATGTGAACTTAGTTCACAGCACAAGTGGTCTGCTTTGAAAGACCTGGAGAAGGAAGATATGTTGATTTTTAACACCTGAAATAGTATTCCTGACTCATACAATCAACTGAAGAAAACTAGCATTTGCTGTTCTTTCCTTATTCAGGTCTACATATTTATGCGAACAATCATTTTCAAACATGAACCTTATCAAGAGTAAATTGAGAAGTCATCTTATTGATGAGAACCTTGTGCCTAAAATTAAAAACAACATAGAAACCTGACTTACCCAAACTTTCCAAGGAGATGCAAGGTCGTTGTTCACATTAGTGTTTGTCAGTCATTGTCTGATTTAATTTTATGGTTATTGTAAGGAATATAATTTTATCAATAAATAATATCATTATTAAGTATGATATCAAGTTTTATTCAATGTACCTATAGTTTAACTAAGACTTAAAACTTTAAGTAAAGGTTACTAAATTAATTTTAGGGAATGTTGTGGAGTGAAATAAGATGTAGTGTTAAGGATTGAGAAAGGTATGTTGAAATGGTTTGGACATATAGAGAGGATGAACGAAAGGAGCTAGACGAAACAAGTATACAAGACGAGGGTTTTTTTTTCAATAACAATGCACCTACCTATATAGTTTAAGTTTAAAAAATTTGGCTCTCAAAAGAAATTTCAATCGTTGTACTATTGATATTTGGCTCTGTTGACTAATGAGTCTGCGGACAACTGGTCTAGGTCATCAAATAAAAGCCTCAAAGACTGACAATTACTCAATAGGTTAAAGATGTTGCCTTGAGACATAGCCCGGGCTTTCTTAAAATATGGTTACTGAATTCGTAGGATTAGCACCCCAAGATAGACATACCCTAGTGGAAGCCCAGTAGATCATATTGCAGCTTTATAAACCAGTCCCTTTGGCTGCATTTTCTATATTAGAACCAAGTCACTATTTCCAGCACATATTGAGGAGAGAGGAATGAGACTCTATATTTTAATTAGAGGTATTTCAAATCATTTACATACATCTTTTTAAACTTCCACAGCCATCACTTCACACCATGTAGTATCTTTTGTGTTTACTGCATCTTCACAATGGTTTGTTCCAGGAGATTCCTAAAGGATATCTGAAAACCAATATATAAATTTACTTTTTGCTTTAGGAAAAGCTTGTAAACCAGTTTGTTTGAGCTTTGATCTTCCTACAGAAACTAGGGAATAGGGGCCTTATCTATGTTATGATTATATTTCAAAGGATTGCTTCCTAGGTCCTTGACAAAGATAATAAGGGTTCTACCACGTGAAAGAAAAAAGAAAAAAAAAAACACTTTTGAAAAGATTTGCACTTCAAAAGGGCAGAAAAGAGATTTACAATTAAAATTTTTCTAAAGAAGTACAATAAGAAAAAAAGATGCCAATGGCTCAAAATAAGGAAGGAGCCTGCCTGAAGGTTAGCTAAGCAATGGGGAACTTTTAAGCCTTCTTGGTCGGGACTCTAGTTCACATTTATGTTTTTGAACAACTGTTTTTGACAGAGTGCTTTCCTAATTTGGGCCTGTCAGTAATTTATAGAATGTTTCTGAGTGGTGGTGGGTATAACTTCTGCCAATTCCTACATGCCTTGCCTGTGGACAGAGCAGGCTCTTTCAGCCAGAAAATCCCAGGACAAAGGTTCAGAGGTTTTGTCAATTGGATTTAACAAAAAAATGGGTAGAACCATAAGGGCCAAGAGAGTACGAGTGTGGCACCAACAGAATCTATCCAGAGGTGTCATTGTCTAGAATACTATTCAGAGCTTTAAAAGAACTAAATCATTTTTTTTAAGTCTAAGCAATTATTGGTAAAATTATTCTCAAAGAAGTAACTACTTCTGTCTTATCCTACAAGTCATCAGGAAAATTGTTCCATGGCAAAAAGAAGTCATAATTTTATGAGTCATTAAAACACACTTTAATGTATAATAACCCTTTGTCAATAAATAACTGGTGATTTTTATTGTTTTCACTCAAGATTGCTTATTGAATGAGAAAAGTTTATTGTTTTGGTAAAATAAGGCAACATATATGCAGTAATTCAGTGGTATACATAATGAGTGCATTTGTATAATGTGTGTTGGGTAGAAATTTCTCTATCTGGAAATGTAATAGAATCTCTAGTGCAATTAAATTCTCTAGAAGTTTTTTCACTATAGCTTTCTTATACTGAAAACAAGCTACATAGCAATGAGTCTGTAGCCATTGATGTTCTGGTCACAAAGATACTAAAAGAAAATAAATCTCACTCATATTTTAGATAAAATAATCATCAATCTTCACCTGAGGGGTGTTTTAGCACACTTTTCAAACCTTCAGTTTCCTACTGAGTATTAGCTAGTAGCCTTTGATTTGATAGTTGTTTGGATGGCAAACTATTGCATTAAATGATGCCCTAAAGCTACCCCTTGGCAAAGTTAAAATCCAGTATTTCTGTTGGTAAATTATGCTAGCTTTAGTTAATTAGAGACTTGAAGGTATCCCTTTTTTTTGTTTGTTTTTAAGGCTAATATCTATTGAGCTTTGCTCTAAAGTTATTAATTGCAGGGTTGGAATTAAAATTTTTATCTTATGAAGGATATTGAATTCTAGTATTCAGAAGTGGAGAAAAAGAGATTCATAAGATAATTTTTAATTAAATAAAGTATTAGAAGTTCCAAGAATAAATCGTTCTCTTATCCGTAGGGAGCTCTTTGTGTCCCCACTGGTTGCCACTGGAAGTGGGTTTCTTGCAATGTCACAAGAAGAATTCTCTGAGACTTGCCCAGAAGAATGAGTGGCATTTGTTTGCATGGAGTTAAGTCCCTGAGTTTCCAAGGTCCCATTTCCTTTGTCTCACCATGGAAGTCCAGCTGTGCCTTTAGCAGGGCCAGCATTAAAGCTGCTGCCCAGAGTTTCTGTTCCATGTTCCCATAGTCCAGGCCAGCATCAGCCTAGCTTAGCTTAGTTTGTGTTCCCAGTTATAGACCATCAGTCCATTGCACGTGGAGTCCGTTCGGCCTCGTGACAATAAAGGGAACACAGGTGGGAGCAAGAGAGACACAAAAGCCAAAAGCCAAGAGCCTGAACTTCTTTGTCTTGGGATTATGAATCCCCAAATTTCGGAGTTTTGTGGCACAACCTCCTCTAGCCGATTGTTTCTGTCCCGGTTAGAATGACAGGTACCTTCACTGTCACCCTGACTTTATTGCACATATACCTAACTCCTCTTTGTCTAGTCCCTTTCCCCAGCGATTTGCAGGGAATGGACTGATGGTTCTCTGAAATTACAGCTACCTGTGAAGTGGCCCAAAATGGCCATGCTTATAATGTCCGGTCATTCTTTTGCTCCTTTCCTATTATTAACAACTAGAGGCCTGGTGCATGAAATTCATGCACTGGGGGGGGGTCCCTCAGTGTGGCCTGTGCCTCTCACAGTCTGGGAGCCCTGGCGTG